CGACGATCCGAGTCAATCCGGGCCGTCCGACGAAAATCCGAGGTTGTGGTGGGGCTTGGAGGGGTTCTGGGGGGTCTCTGAGCGTTCAGGGGCCTGATCCGAGTGATCCGACGACGTTCCGAGGGTCCTGGGCGTGTTCCGAGGGTCCTGAGACGATCCGACGACGATCCGACGAAAAACGCCAAAAAACGACCTCCTGGGGGGCCTGAGGGGTTCCTGGGGGGTCCTGAAGGGTCTGTGAGGGTGTGAAAGAGGGAGAGGGGTGAGTATCAAGGTTGATAGACAAGGTTTGAGAGAGGTTCAGGGGGAGTATTTTCAAGGTTTGAGAGGTGAGTTTTCAGGGTTGATTTTCAAGGTTTGCGGAGTGGTGTTCTGGGTGTTTCGTTCCTGGTCTCCGTGTGAGTTGATCTTGCAATATGTTATGGGTGTTCTGAGGAGAGCAGGTGAGGGATCTTCTGGGTTCTGAGTCTTGATGGTAGATTGCAAGATGAGGAATGTACAAGGTTCGGATCTCGAACGAACTCCAAGTTCGAAGTTCGTGACATGTACGTAACAGGCTCTCTACATATGTAACGTCCCCAGTTCCAGTCCTCCACAGCTCATAACAGACAAGTCAGAATTGATGATAAAGATCCCTAGAAATCAGTTTATGAAAGTACCCAATCAGCAGTGAGGCAATCAAGTACTAGGATGAGTTGGTTTATTTATGTCAGTTCTGTTTATCTCTATTCAACATACTGATATTTGGAAGCGTGCTAACTTATTTATTCAGGAATGGAAACCAGGCCGAGTTATCTGCAGTTACATTATTGATGTTTTCTTCTTTGATGCAGAACGAGGGCAAAGGATTGATACCAGACAACACATCCGGTTCTGACAAAATCTGACCAACAGCATTGTTGATGAAAGACATCCAGAGAGCATCCTCATCGCTGTCATTGATTTCCGACTCTTCCTCCTCAAAGACATCAAGCGGCACAATTTCCGGTTCAGGTACAAGTTCATTCTCATCTGGCTCCGACTCAAATCTGAATCCATTGACACAGGTTTCCTGGTTCTGATTGACAACAACATGCAGTTGAGTGATTCCCTCATCAATTACGAAAGCCAACTTGCCTGAAGCTTGATTTTCCGCCCTCCAAGAGGCGATGCAATTGACCCGGTCTTTTTTGGCTCGTACTAGGATTTGGTGCCGGTCATTGCAGCAATGACTGCGCTGATTAGCAGTTGTCTTTCCCATACACAGCACACATAGGTAAGCCGTCCCCTTCTCAGTTTGTCTTGCAAGGAAATCTTCCCATCCAATGCAAACGGTCAGCTTCTTCACTCTATTTTTTATTTTTTGAAAAAATGCCTTTGGACTCACACTTATAGTCCATGTCCATCTTTCCTTTTAGTTTGTTCTATAGATTGTTCAAGCCTTTGTATATCTTCACTTGAGCCGGTGGATCAATTGAGATCGGATCAGTTGGTCTAATTTGTTTACTTTTTTATTAACAATAATTCTTTTTGGCAGTTACCTCAATTGACCATTTCACCCTTTTTCCCCCTCCTCCGATCTCGATTGGACTTCACTGAAAAAAAGCATTTCTTCTCATCTTTGCTTCCTCCACATCCCACATCGTCAAATTCTCCTCAATCATCATATTTTTGCATTCCCTCCCCTATCCTCCCCACCTTTCAAACCATCCACACATCTCAACTCTTGATTTCCCATCCATTTTGATTGACATGTCCATGTCAAATATTGTCTTTGGGGATGGTGATACCTCAGAAACCACATTCCCAGAAGGCTACCCAGACCTCAGAGCTGTTCCATCTCCCCCTACAGGCCAAGATGACTCTTACAAGAACTTGGAAGAAGTTAACCACAATCTCCTCTTTGGCGTTACTCCTTTGCCCACTCTTTTCAATGTTCCCATGACCAATCAAACCCCACAGCCTCCGAAGGAAATCAATACAATCTGCAATGATCTTCAGGCTAAGCTTGAGCTTGATCCTGAACATTTGAAGATTGCGACTATGGCAGCAAAGGTCTGTGGATTGTTTTCTTCACTCAATCACACTTCCTTTCTCCGCACTCCCCCTTTGCTGACTGCTTCCTTTCCCACCAGTACTATACCAAAGCAGGCACCAAACATGCCTCCTCCGTTTTTGCCATGGGAGCTTATAATCAGCTCAGTGCAACTCAATCTCTTGCAATCGTTGCTAATCATGTCTACGATTCTACATTCAAGGTGAGTATTCAGTTCTCATATAATCTCATGTCTGTCTCAAACAGTCGCTGACTTGTCCCTGGCTACCAAATGTCAGGAATTTGTCAGGATGAGGACTCGAATGATCCTCCTGATCCCAAACCTTGAGGCGTACTCAAACAACCCCCACAAACATGGAGTCCTGGCAAGAACACTATTCTACCTTGTCCTTGTAAGTCAATTGGGCTTACTTTCTTTTTCTTTTACGGATCATCAATTGTTCACCCCCCTGCAGGATGCAGTTGATAAACAGTCTAACGATTGTAAGGAGGATCACCTCAAACCTGCTCAGTTGCAGCCCAATTCATAGGAGGGCCTCAAGCACTACCAAGCCACTATTGGTGATCTCATCAAGTACAAAAGAAGTCATATACGTGAACTGGCAAGTCTCATTTAATCTATGCTTGCTCTGATAAAGCATAACCTCACTGATCCCGTTTCTTTCAGCTTCTAACAAACATCCTCAAAACTCTCAAAACAACTCCCAAGGGAAGTCTTTCTCCTTGAAACCAGATGCTTGCTCTTGTCAGTATCCGCTTTTTTGTTCTCATTTATCTCTTCTTATTGTACCAACATCAGTTTTTTTATCTTGTAGATTTACACTGATCTTCCACCCAACAACAAGAAGATGAGCCAGCAACAAATAGACAGCCAAGTTTCTTTGAATCAGCCTATGTGAATCCAAATGACCTATGCTCAATTGGTCATGATACACTACTACAAGAATAAACAAGACAGCAAGTCTCAGTGGACAGCAATTGATGACCGATTACGCATCCTCCAAGCTTCTTCGAAAGAATTTCAACAGGTGTAAGTCATTTTCCTCCAAAGTTTTGTTTTTTGAACTAGCTTGCATTGTGTACTCACCTTCCTCTCTCAGCTGCAGCCACGCACAGCTTGTGATGGACAAAGACGACCAGCTTTTTCCGAACAAGAGGCACATCACCCAAATTAACAAGGATGAGTTTACTGTTCCCACTCTTGATGACGTGCAAGCCACAATGGCTGCTGGGAATGTGGCAAACCATTCCGCTTAGCTTCTATCTATCTCTTCTCTCATCAGGCAAAAAAATTGATCGTTTTTGATCATTTCTTCTCTTTTCTTTTGCTCGACTCGTTTCTTTTCTCTCATTGGTCTAAAATCTCTCTCTTGTCTGTTGTTTCTCCCTTATCTCTCATCTCTCTCTCTCTCTATAATGTTGTATGTACATGTACTGCTCTCCTCAACTAGTCTTCAAAAGACGTTGGATTCTTCCATTTGAATCCAACTTATTTTTTCTTTTAAATTTCAAATCCAGTTGTGTTTCAACCGGATTCTAAGTCTCACATCGGGTCATCCCAACAGAAGCTTGCCAATGGCAAGCCCCTGTATACCTGTTGCTGGTATCTCGACAGGAGCTTGCCGATGTCAAGCTCCTATATACCTGTTGCTGTTATGTCGACAGGAGCTTGCCGATGTCAAGCTCCTATATACCTGTTGCTGTTATCCCAACAAGAGCTAACCAACAACAAGCTCCTGTATATTTGTTACTGGTATCCCAACTGTAACTCATTGCTAACATCCCAATGAAAGCTGGCCGACGATCAGGACACAGTAGGGTGAAGCCAACAAGGGCTTCCCAATGCCTGCCCTTGTCATGATCCGGCAGGATCCTGCTGTCACAGGTATGCCCATGACATAGTCCGACAAGAAGGTCACATCACAGGTTGGGCTGACGGCGGGAGCCGACACCCCCCGCTCTCAGCCAAGCCAATTTTTTGGGAGGGGTCGGGCGAGTGGGGCCAACACAATGCTTGATGCCGGCCCAACGTCGCTCGCAACCTGTGGTGTACATACCTTGGATACATGCATAACCCCCGCCTGGTTTACCAGTATCCAAGAAATGGGCCACGAATCCTCAGAATCCTCACTACACGTGACAACAAAGCCCCCACATGTGTAATAAAGTTATAAACTAGCTAGAATATTCATGAAAATACTACAGTAACTCAGAATATTCCACATTCCCATTGGTAACACGTGTAGAAAGCCTCAGAAACCAGCTCTGGAATATTCTGTGGCCCATTTCCAAGGAAATGGCTCCACGTAACAGACTAGCCCCTACCTGCAGGCTCCCAAGGTATATTCTTGGTTCAAATAAAGTCGTGCATGACCCCTTGGAGCTTCTGGAATATTATCCCCAAGGTTTCAGCCCTTTTTGTGATAATTGGAAACTTAAGAGTGTAATTTCAAAACATGTCAGGATCTTGGCAAAACAGCTTAGAGGAGGAACATAGTGAAGTCGTGAACAAAAAGAGAGTCCTCTAGTACCTTAAGAGCAAGGGTACAATGTGAGACAGGAAGTTTGTATATAACAAGTAGGGGATGGTAAAACCGTGTAGGGAAAAAGGTATGATAACAAGAAGAAATGCACAAGGTGCTTTAGAAAGAAAGGAGCTTTTAATGAGCTAAGACAGAAAATGGAAAAGAGAAGTCAGAAATGCAGAAAGAGGTCGTCACAGGTCTGATGTGGGGTGATCTGGATATCGAGGTGATTGATGAAGACTTTGGTATGAACAGGGGTGAAGTTTCAATATTGGTTCGCAGATACTGGACACACAGGTCAAGAGGCCTTTTATAGTGATGCAGACAGGTGGAGCATCTGTTTGTGCTTACGAGATAAGGGTCCAAGCATTGCATGAATCATGCGGTAGTCAGTCCATGACCATGTTGGTCCAGTTGAATCTCCTGAGCATCGATGCCTATGGTATTGGTAGTGAGGGTAAGAATGTTATTTAGTCTCAGGATATCACAGAAGGGGTGTTGGACCCTTGACTGGTTGGAACCGGTATACTCACAAGTAAGAAATTGGTTCAGGAAGGTGTTTGAGGCTGAAGCCTCGAAACAGGGGTCAGGGCTCAAAACTTGACACTTGTTGTGTCAATATGTTGGCCAAAACGGGCCAAAAAGCACTCCCAAGTCCTACTAAGCTCCCCTGAGCAACCCCTGAGGCCTTCCACAGGTATCTAAAGGGCCTTCTGACCGCCCAAATAAAGATACACCAGCTTGACAATACCTTATACAAATTTACTTACCATTTACAAGTCCCCTACACTTGTAATTAGCCTAGTTATTACTATTATTACTGCTATTAAGCCTCAAGATACCTCAAGAAACTCCCCAGTTATCACCCAGCACCCAAAATCACCCTTTTTGAGCGCTTCCAACTGCCCTGTTTCCATCCTGAAGATCCTCAATACCCTGAAGGATTATTACTAGTAAGTAATAACCCTTTTTCTTGAGATTTTCCCCTTAAATTCTTCCTGGGATTTAAACCACACCTGTTCAGAGGCCCCAGTGTTCCAGGTACCTAAATCCTGTGCTTTTGCCCGATACCTTAGAGGGATTAAATCACCCCTGATTTATCAGGCCCCTCTGGTTTTATTTATATTAATTTCATTAATATAAATTGGCCACTTTTTCTTATAAATTACGCCATAAATTCTTTATTTCTGTGGAATTTATTCCTTTGAAATTAAAACCAAAAGTCCATAAAACTTTTGCTTGTTTTTGCACCACGTGTAGCTAGGAGATATTCCATCTTGGCATCACGTAGGCTGACACTTTTTGGGCTGATTTTGGTACAGCTGAATTGACCAACTAATAGAGTGTGAGCGCTTCCATGTCCCCCAGAACCTTGGGGAGTTGATTGGCTTTTGGCTCCACAGGGATCTCTTCAAGCATTGTGATTCTTGCTAATTGGGAGAGTGACTTACACTTGAGGATGGATTGCAATCAGTTGTGTTATGTTGACAAATAGCCCATACAACAAATCCGTACTTATGGTCTAAGCACCTGATATCATGGCTGTATTTTATGCACCTCATTTTGTGCCTCTGATGAAAAACAGGTATGATAATTGTTACTAGAACCAAAACTTTAGAAATGATAAGAAACAAGTTAGACAAAGAATAAGATGAAACAGAAAACACTAGATTTTTAGAGATAGAAAATGCGGCCTACCACAATGAGTAAGGATGGTAATTGGGCCGGGTGTCCAACGGGCCGCCCAAACCTGACCGGGTTTGGGCCAAGCTTTTCATGGAATTTTTTACTTAGGCCCGGCCTGAGATGACCCGATTAAAGTTTGGGTCTACTCGGGCTGCCCATTGGGCCGGTGAATTAGTGGGGGGTCCTGACTCCTGGCGCTCGGTCAGGTCCAATTGGACCTGACCAAGCGCCAGGACCCCCAGAGCTTAGCTTATCCCGAGGTCCGAACCGACCCCAGTTCCTACTCCGTCTGCGACCCCGCCGCCGCAAGTGCTAGCGCCAGAATCTCAACTTCTCAGTGACCAAGCCCGCAGGCAGCCCACTGACAGCCAGGAAGCCCTTCTCTATAGCAGCCCGCGGGCTGCCCGTGGGCAGCCCAATTTGTAAACAGGTTTGGGTCGGGCTGTCGATTTCTTGAATCAACACCGCAACAGCTACGCTACGCTCCAAAAAGCAACATATTAGCGTAGTGTAGTGACAGAGCAGTGTTCATACAGGCAGATAGCAAAAGCGCAAGCGCCCCCACTGCTACAATCAGCGTCAGCGCAGCGCAGCCATCACTACAACAAATACGGCCTCCGCGCAGCAGAGCAATTTTGTTGCGCTAACACTACATAATAGCGTAGCTTTAGCGCAGTAGCGCTTATGGGCGCTTCTGTGCGCTATATAGCGGTTTCAGTGCACTATTGGCTATTAGCTCCCAAAAAGCTGGAGCCTAATGATTTCTGACTGCACAAAAGTCATGCTGAGTCCCAGACTTCCGGACCAGATCCCGGGTGGCCATTTAAGCTCAGGTGTATAAGGGTAGATATCCTTGTACAAATCCAAATGCTAGTACGATGACACTGGCAAACTGTGAAGTCACTCCGGATGATACGCAGGGCATCCCAAATCCTGATGGGAGTACTCCAAGGATATCCGCTTTGATCGCTTGTACATCAAAAGTGCAATAGCGTTTGCAAGTCGCTGGATAGTGAATTAAGGTCGCTACAAAGCGGCTATTTAGCGAATCAGTCGCTATTAAAGCGGCAAGCGTAGCGCTGGTCCGCTACTTCCCGCTAAAATTAGTGCGCTATTAATATAACGTTTCTCTATGCCCAACTTCAAACTAAATAGCGAAGCGGGGGCCGCGCTTTGCCAAGCGTAGCGAAGCGGCACCAAAATTGCTGCGCTTTTTGCTACGCTACCGCTTTGTGTAGCGTATTTGTTGCGGTGTTGCTTGAATGCAGCCTGGCCTGACCCACCCGGCAATGTTCCGGACGGCCCAAGCCCCCCCCCCCCCGATTATTGTCCTTAACAATGAGAGTTCATTTTGTTGAGAAGCAAGACAGACAGACTAAGATAAATGAGATCAAATAAAGAGAAGTAATATGCGCTGAATTCAGAGAGAGGAAACAATAAGAGCACAATGAGAAAACAAGATGATTAATTGGTTGTTCACAGGATAGAGAGAAATGAAAAGCCATATGCTTTTCTCACCAAATTGGCAAGAGCCAGGATAAAAGATTGATGGAGAGAGTCAGAGAGATCAGATGAGTTGATGTGAGTTGGGTTGAGATTGAGATAATGTTGTTGTCAATGTGATCATTCGATGAGAGAAAAAAGAGATAGAATGTAGGTGATTGAGGAGCAGAGGAGTCAAATTTGGAAGGGAAAGTTGAGACCGGAAATGTTGAAGGGAGTTGAGGAGTATAGAAGGTTAAAGGCCGAGCAGAGTAGGCTAGTTGGTAGTCGGATGTTGAGTCCGGATTGAGAGATGAAGATTTTCAATGAGGAAGTCTGCTTGAGGATGGAATGAAAGGAGTCGAGAATAGAGGCTATTTATAGCCATTCATGTCATTTGTCTTGAGCGATTGAGTTGTGGTTGTGGGAGTAGTTTGTTGTTTGACTTGTGGTTGGATTGATTGATGTTGACTTGAGTAGACAAGGAGATGAAAGAAGAATTCTGAGACGGATTGGGAAGGATGATGAGAGAGAGAATAGATGAAACAGAGAGAGAGAAAGAATAGGAATGGGAGAAGATATTAAACAGAGAGAGAGTGAGTGTTGAGTGCGCGGTCAGCGGTGCACAGACAAAATTCCAACAGTCTCAAATGCCCTGTTTCATGCAGAATGAGCATGAAACAGCTGAATCCCAATTGCATTCATGAAATACCAGCTGCCCAAGCAGCCTGTGGCCCACCAACCTGATGGTGAGCACTGTGTGATTCTCCAAGATGTGCCCCTACTGTTGGTGCCCAACTTGCTAGGGATTAGGCACATCAAGATGCCTTTAGAGGGCTTTGAAAAAAAAAAGCTGCTTTTGATGAATCCTCATGGGCAAGCAAGCCAACTTAGCGCATAAGTCCCTCCTTTGAAGGGGCCCTGTGCGACAGCAACACTGGGTAGTTACATTACCCGTAATGGTAGTGTAAAGATAAAGTAGTGAATTTCCACTCATTATCATTACTTTCCCCATAATATTTGGAAATTTTTTGCACATTACATTATCCATTTTGCCTTGGATTTTTTTTTTCATGCTCATTACACTATCAGCAACTTGTATTTTTTTTTTTGAAAAAAAAAAAAAAAAAAAACATAAATATTGGCAAGACATGTGATACTTTCTGGACATTCATGGCATGTGTTGCTGCCAAAGCTCAAAAAGAGAGGCTTTTTGCCACTTAAAATGTGTTTAGGGTTGCTCAACATTTGGATAATCTAATAATGCATTACTTTATCAATTCATTACACACAAAAACTTCACCATTACACTACTAGCTGAAAGAAAAATTTACCACTACAGATAATGTTAATGTGTCAGGGAAGGAATCAAGTGCACTACATTACTGAGATAATTCAGATAGCGCAGCGTAAAGTAGAGATCCAGTGTTGGCGACAGCATCCCCCCTCCAAATCAAGGAGGACTTAGTTAAGTTTGATTTTCAGCCCAATTCTGAAAACTGACAATGCAGGTATGTACACGCATAACAACACCTCTTGAGTGAGAGCCCTTCTTGACCCAAGGGGCCCTCTTCCCCACCTCTTAGAAGCTCAGACGGATTAAGTTTGGGGTCTTGTGTTTTGAAGAATGTGTGGACGATTCAAGAATTTCAAAGCTTTCAGGTTATGTGATTGTGGTGCACAGTGCAGGTTTAATCCACTGGTTTGTGATCATCAACTTTATTTCACAAGGCTGGACCACACACATGTCCTCCCCTGCTTCCCACGCTGTCCTCCGCTGTCACTCCCTTGCACTCCGCTTGTCACCCCTCCAACATCCACCAGCTAATGTCCTACCCTGGCCGCCCTTTGAACAGGTATCCCACTGCCACTTCCGCCTCTGGTCTGGCCTCTACAAACCCCGCTTCTGCCTCTTGGTGCCTCTGCTCCCTCTTAGCCCCTCCGCAGTACGCGTTAACCCCAGTCCACAGCCGTCCGTAAACCCCAAAGTCCGCCAGTGCCCGGATTCCCTGCAGTAAGCTTTTCAGAACCTTGTACATTTGACTCTGCTCAGCCCGCGCTTTCTCGCGCCTTGGAAAGCTTGACTTTCTACCCATGCACTGCTGTTTTCCTCAGCCCGTCCTCATCCGCCATGTGCATTCCGCACCCGCCCAAACAATTTGGCCGAAGCTTTGGCTCCAGCGCGCTCTCACCACCACACCGGTCAAAACCGGTCATCAATGGGGGTTTTTACTCCCATCCATGACCAGTTATGATGGGTGCTTATCATCCATGGGAGGTGTACTCCCACTCCCATGGATGACTGGGTGTATTCATGGGGGGGGGGTGTAGAGTCCATTGAGAGGAGGTCACAAACCCCTTGGATACATGGCACAATTGGCAGATCAGTGCCACGCATGGCGGCCTCAGACCATCTCCACCCCAAAGGGTCGTTTGAGTTGTTAAATTTACAAACTCTTTGACTGCGGTGCGCCTATAGCAGCCCAGTGAAACTTGATTTTCCACCGCAGGGTGATCAAGTAGGTGTGTTATGTGTGAAAGGCCACCCAATAGGGGAGGAGGATCTGGATTTCACCAGGATTGACCTGTGAAACCGTTGGGTTGGTATAGCAATTGCACATCTAGCAATGCTATACCATCTGAGGGGGGGGGAACTACATTTACCTCCTCTTTAGCACCCCCAGTGGCAGGGGTTTTTTGAGCTTGGGGGGGGGGTAAATTTGGCTTACCACTGCAGTTTACCTCCCCGGTGGAGATGGTCTCAGGGGCAATGATGGCAGCTCAGGGTCATGAGTGGCCAAAATGGCAGTTGAGATCATTTGTCCATTTGGTCACTCTGGCAATACAGGAGCATTATTTGGCAGGTACTTGGCCAAAGTGGCAGTGTATCTCCATATATATATATATATATATATATTTTTTGGCTATTGTGGCATGTCAATGCCTCCATAAAAAAGACCCTAAAGTTGTTTTTTTTTGGGGGGGGGGAATAGAAAAATAAATAGAAATTGCAACAAAAGATTAAAAAAGATTGGAATGAACGGGTACATACATACAAATTGAAAAAAGAAAAAAAAGACAGACAGACAAAAGGAGAGATAAGCGAATGAGGTTCAAGTTTTTTTTGGAGGGTTTTGGTTTTGGTTTAACAGAAGGTGAAAAAAAAAGAAAGAAAAAAACGAGATCTTGAGGATCAAACGAGGAGTAGCCAAAGAGAGAGATAGACGACGACGACGGGAGAACGAAAAAAAGAGAGGATGAGAGTGATCGAGTAGGAACAGATAGAAGAGAGAAAGAGAGAGGGGGATCAAGGATTGATAGGATGATCGAGGATGCCGTCGAAAGATCGAGGAAGATTAGCGCGATGAGAGTCGAGGAGACAACGAATCGCGGAGATCCATCTGATTTCGTCGTCTTCGGTGGGCGCATTGAGCAGATAATTGCGCTGCGAAGTGATGATTTTAAAGTAATGATCTTCATGATGAGTGGATGGACCAGAAGGACCCCCACCACCACCGGAATGGGTGCTCGTCGTCCCCCCTACAACTGAACCACTCAGGATCCCTGGCGATTCCGGCGCAGACTCGTGTTCGATCGCATCGAGTAATCGCCCAATCGGTATCTGCCGCGTGTGTCGTCCTCCAACATCCTTCAATTCACCAATAAATGGAATCAGGTTAGCTTGGATTTTGGAAAAAAAAGTTCGAGTCTCCTGAGAAAGACTAACCATGTGTGTTCGCGAATAAATAAGCTTTTGACTCGTCAACATAAAGTAACGTTTCCTCCAATTCTTCCTCTTGCCCTGTTTCATGAGATAGCCTTGAACTGTTTTATTTTGAAAGATAAAATCAGTACTACATCATAAAAGGAAGAAGAACGAGGGGAGGAGGACGTACTGATGGTCTTTCCGGCCTCGGGGAGGGAGACTTTACGCTCGGGAAGGATTGGAACAGGGATAGTAAGATTATCGGTAGGGTTGTGGATAAGATGGTCGTGTGTGTTAGGGCCGCAAGTGGCACGACGAGTAGGTGGAAGGGTGTCGTCGACTTCGTTATCTTCCTCGGAGCTACTCATGAGTGCGGGGATAGAGTGTTGAGGGACTTGGGAGGGCTGTGAGGTAGCAAAGCTAGTCTCTGAGGATTGTTGATGATTTCCAGCACTAGAACCCGCGCTACTGAGATTGGCCCGGAAGGGCATGGGAGGATGGTGGTATGATGCGGGAGACTCATAAGGAGCGGTCTCGAAGGGTTGGGCGGAGAGTGAGAGCCCTCGACGGATCGAGGCCTTGGTGATGGTGGCCGTGTTGTCGAGTGCCTCGACCTTGCTCGGCTGGCAGAGGTTGAAATGGTCGGATGCCCATGAGACCGCAGAGGAGGAGGAGGAGGGCTCGCCGTGTTGGACGATTGAGATCGGATTGGTGGTTGTTTGGTTGGGTGAGCAGATGGGTGTGGGGGGTAGTCCAGTGGGATAACAAGGTTGGTTGATGATGGTGATAGCTGAGGGTGTGGCAGGATTACTGGATGGTTTTTGAGCTGTTGTTTACAGAAAAGAGTGTCAGAAGAAGTAGGAGAAGGAGAAGGAGAAGAAGAATGAAGAGATGCTGACCAGATGGTTGAGGTCGTTGAGGGTTTTCGAGAGATTTGAGTAGGAGTGAGGCTGCAGTGACTTTGCTGGTCCATTGGTTGCGTTCAGTTCTGGAGCGAGCACGGACGTAGTAGGTACGAGCAGGGGTGACGATGCCGAAGGTGTTATCGTACTGTTTGACCTCGACCTCAGCACAGGTGTGGATCTCGGTCAAGGGAATGATTCTCAAGAGGCAGTATTCCTGTAATGATGAAAAAAGGATGAGTACTTGGTCACTCTTGGAAGGTGATGAGAGGATTGAAAGTTGACTGACTTTCTCGTTCTTGTAGTAGACCAAGCAAGTCTTTCGGAGTACGAACCATCTTCGTTTCCAGGTCTTTCTGCGTTCGCCCTTCTTGAGTAGATAGCCAGAGTGTAAGATTTCCTCGTTCTCGATGTCACCAAACTGCCTGTAGTGGCTCGTCGATGGTTGGTATGGATCCTCCTCTTCATCGTCCTCTGATTCGATATCCAGTTGGAGTGCGCTGTTTGGTTGAGGATTGGTTGCGAAGAGTGGGAAGGATGAGTTGATGGGTGAGCTGAGTGTTTGGTTGATGGCTTGGATATCGATCTGTTGTTGGTGTTGTTGTTGTTGTTGGTGTTGGTTGGTTGGGGTTGTTGTTGTGGTTGTTAGGGTTGTTGTTGGTATGATGAGGTTTGAGAGTGGTTTCTTGGTAGAGGTAGTTGGTCTTGAGTTTGTATGAGTCATGGTGGATGCAGGTTGAAGATGATGATTAAGATGGGGGTGGATGGTAATGAAGGCCCCCCCACCGCGCAGAAGGTGTGTGGGTGGGGAAGGAGAGGAAGG